GATACCTGTTTGACTATCAACTACCATTCTTTCCTTGTAAGCAACTGAATTCATTAGTAGATAGTTCTGGAAAGTACGTGGGAACCTCATAAACTTAATGAGAGTGGTAGTTCAGCGACTAAATGCATGAACTCAGTTCAAAATGCCTGTGTTAAACTCCAGTCCCACCATTTCGTTGCTGTGAATCACTGGGTAGCCATGTAACCGGCCTGTGTCTCATTCCTTCAGCAGTAAAGGGAAACTAATGATTAAACATTTTAGCTCTTACATTTAGGTCTATTATCCATTTTCAACTAAGTTTTACATAACATATGATGTAAAGGTCATGCTTTGTTCTTTTGTATATGGATTTCCAGATTTCCCAGCACCATGTCTGCATCGTCCATCTCTGCAGAATTGTCTTGGCATGCTTGTAGAAAATCAATTAAACTTAAGTGCAAGAGTTTATTTCTGGACTCTTCATTTTATTCCACTGAGCTGTTTCCATTCTTATGTCAGTACCACGCTGTCTTGATTTCTGTAGATTTGTACAATAGTATGTTTCGAACTTGCTAAACCTGGGTCCTCTAACTTTATTATTTTTGTCAAGATGGTTTTGGCTGTTCTGGGTCCCTTGCATTTCCATAAAATTTTAAGACCACCTTGTCAATTTCTACAAAGAAACCAGCTAGAATTTTTATGTGTATTCTGTTGAATTTGTACACCATTTTGAGGAATTGCCATGTTAACCATCGTAACTTTTCTTTTTTCTTTTTTCGAGAGGTTTTCTGCTATAGGGCACGTGCGCTCACCAGACAGAGAGAGACAGAGAGAGAGAAAGCAAGAAATCACCCCCCCCCCCCAAGGGGAGGGCAACCACGCAATCCCTTCTCCTCCATTCTCTTCTCAGGATCTTGGGCACGCACGCACATGCGCCCGGCATGAGTTTTAAGCCACCGGATCCGGGACATGAACCATGGTCGACTACGTGGGAGTCCAGCGACATAGCCATTATGCTAACTGCTGGTCCCTCCATCTTAACTTTTCTAAACCATTAACGTGAAATGTCCTTCCAGTTTTTTAAGGTCTTTAATTTCTTTCAGTGATACTCTGTAGCTTCCAAAAGGGTGTACAAGTATTACACCCTTTTGTTAAATTTATTTCTGAGTGTTTTTATCTTTTTGCTAGTATGGTTTGTGAAAACGATTTCCTAATTTCATTTTCAGATTCTTCATTGCTAGTATATAGAAATAAAATTTTCTTTTACACTGAAAAAAAAAAGTAGTTAATACTGAAAAAAACCTTACTAATGTACTTATTGAAATGATTAAATATATTAAGAAAAAATAAGTCACTGTATTCATTTTCTATTGCTACTATAACAAATGACCACACATTTAACTGCCTAAAATGATGCAAATCATTGGAGCGATCACTTCCAGGCTCATTCAGATTGCTGGCAGAATTCAGTTCCATGCATTTCATGAACAGAGGTTTCTGTTCCCATGCTAACTATTGACTAGTTGGGTGTTGTCCTCAGCTTCTAGAAGCTCCCACAATCTCTGGCTCATATGCCCCTTCCTTCATGACAGCCAGCAATGATGACTGAGTTTTTTCTCATGCTTATGTTACCTCTGACCTTCCCTTGTGTCTTAGCTTTCCTGCCTGCAGCTGGAGAAGGCTCACTGCTTTTTTTTTTTTCTTTTAAACTTTTTTCTTCCTTTTTCTGATGTTTTTACATTTTATCACTATACATATTTTTCTAAAGAATTCTTTTCTTTAGTTTTTCTTACTATTTTAAAATTCAAACAGATGGAGAAGGAAAGTGAGAAAGCAAGCCACCAGGTCTGGGACTTGCACCACTGTCAGCCGTGTGGGAGACCAACACCTTAACCACCAGGTGAACTGCTGGCCCTTAATCATTTAATCGTTACCACACAAAAAATGTATTTTCCCAGCATAAATACACTGTACATTAGTCAAAAATATTCCAATTCATGTGATTAGATTGGGCCCACGCCGGTAATTCAGGACATCCAGGGCACCCTTCCTATCTCAAGGTCTATGCCCTTAATTGCATCTGCCCTGTCTCCTTTTCTGCCTATTCACAGGGTCCAGGAATTAGGAGGTCGACATCTGCCTGCCATAGGAGCCTAACATGCGTCTTGGTACAAGAAATACAACACATTTTCTCTTATTACTGTTTTTATTAAAAATATGACCCAGGAAAGACAGTTGCCGGGGAGAAGGGTTCAGTCTCTTTAGGCACAATATGCAGACTGACTGTTCCAAACGACGTGTAGTTTATTTCTGCTCCATATTCAAATTTCCTAGAGAAAGATTCTGAAAAACCTCACTTGGTTCTTGTTTTCCCTCTTGCCAAAGCACTTTTAAGACAAAGGGAGAGAGTGGTTAGCCTATTCTAAATTATGGGGTCATATGCATTTGAGAGAACCCACTTTCCTAAGGATTGGGGTAAATGTGTTAGAAATATGTAGGGGTCCATCCAGGCAGAAGAAGCCACGGGCCTTCAGGACAAGGTTCCACATGGCTACAGTGAACTAGATTTTTAAGGGAATGAAGATTTTCTACTAATAATTCAGCCTCCAACAAA